TGGGGGAGCAGCTGCATCGTGCACATCTACTTTTCAGAAGGATCAGAATTTGCAGGCACCCGCAGGGCCGCCGGAGACTGCAGTCAAGCATCTGGTGTAACAGACCAGGGCAGCAGCGGGGGTGCATCTTGTCGCTTCTTCCCTGCCTGACGAGGCGCTGATTGGGGGTGCTGCTGCTGGTGGGGCCAGCTTGAGTGGGCGCCAGCATGGCGACGTCCGGGATGCGCGGGCTGTCCACGTTCATTGCGGACATCCGCAATTGCCAGAACAAGGAGGCGGAGAAGGCGCGCGTTGAGAAGGAGCTCGCCAACATCCGTTCCAAGATCAAGGCCGCGGTGAGCTCGCCATGGGGCGCCCATTGTGGATGCCCAGCCTACAGCAGGAGCTTGCACCGATTGGGGCCAGACCGCAGCGTGTGTTTTTGCTGGTCCTCCTGCGGGCAGCTGCCAGTGGGCTCGCTCCTGGGGCGTGGCGTCTAAACAGTGACGCGGGGTGGTGGTGGGTGCAGGGCATGACGGGGTACGAGAAGAAGAAGTACGTGTGGAAGATGCTGTACATCTACATGCTGGGCTACGACGTCGAGTACGGCCAGACGGAGGCCATCGCGCTCATGTCCGCGCCCAAGTATGCCGAGAAGCAGGTCAGCCACGCGCACCGCCCAGCCCACCAATCAGTGCACCTCCAATTGGCACTCCACCCGAGCGGGCCCTTGGCTGCGGTGTGCGTGCCCCAGCTGGCAACCCGTGCTTGCTGCTGTGTGTGCTGGCCTGACCGGCGGCCGCTGCTGCTGTGCGCGGCGTGGCTTGTGCGCAGGTGGGGTACATTGTGACGGCGGCGCTGCTGAACGAGACGGTGCAGGAGCTGCGGCTGGTGATCAACACTGTGCGCAATGACATCATCAGCAGGAACGAGATCTTCCAGTGCCTTGGTCTCACCTTTGTAAGTCTAGCTTTCCTTCCACGGCGGCGCAAAGGGGATCCTCTGCTACGACTACCGGCGTCTGTTTTTGTACCCCTGTTTGTGTACTCTAACCTGCACTAGTGCCCCAGGCTGAGCTGAGGCCCTGCTGCGGTGGGGTCTGCGTGCAGGTGGCCAACGTGGGGGGAACCGAGTTTGCGGAGTCCCTGGCTGCGGACGTGCAGCAGCTGCTGGTGAGTGTCAGCCTCCCCCCTTGCGCCCAGGCCTGCCCTTGCAGATTGCCCGCGCACGTGAGCTGGCGGGTCTAGCTGCGTGTCTGTGAGGGGCAGGGCCCCACTGTGGCCTCCGCTGGTGAGGCCCCCCCCCGCTGTGCGCGCTGCCTCGGGGCTGCCCTGATGGGCTGCGGTGGGCGTGTGTGCAGCTGTCGCGCACGGCGCGGCCCCTGGTGCGCAAGAAGGCGGCGCTGTGCCTGCTGCGCCTCTACCGCAAGAACCGCGACGTCATCAACGTGGATGGCTGGTCAGTGCCTGCCCGCCAATTGCCGCATGTCCCTGGGCTGATGTTTCCCAGCGGGGGGTATGCAATTGCAACCCTCGTGATTGCCACATGGCAGATTAGGAGTGCAGTCGGCAGAACATCTCTTTGCGATTGGCCCGTCAGTCTCCTCCTGGCTGTTTTTCCACCTCCCTCTTCCCTCTCTGCTGGCCGGCTCTCTTCCATATTGCCTGATGACAGTTGCTGCACCGGTCGGGCAAGTTTCTGCGTCCTTCTGTCTTTTCATGAGACAGCGGACTGCGGAGCTCGCTGCCCGCCAGCGCGCCCCGTTGCCGGCTGCGTGTGCCCTCCTCCGCGGCTGACTGGTGCCGCCCTGCGGTGCGCGTGCAGGGGCGACGTGCTGGGCCCGCTGCTGGACGAGCGCGACATCGGCGTGCTGACCGCGGTGATGAGCCTGCTGCTGGCGCTGGTGGCGGCCTCGCCGGAGGCGTACCTGGCGTGCGTGCCCAAGTGCGTGCGCCTGCTGGAGCGGCTGACGCGCAGCGTGGACGTGCCGCAGGAGTACACGTACTACGGCATCCCGTCGCCCTGGCTGCAGGTCAAGACGATGCGCGTGCTGCAGTACTTCCCCGCGCTGGAGGATCCCGGCCAGCGGCGCGGCCTGCTGGAGGTGCTGCAGCGCGTGCTCATGGGGACGGACGTGGTCAAGAACGTGAACAAGAACAACGCGGCGCACGCGGTGCTCTTTGAGGCGCTCGCGCTCGTGCTGCACATGGACGTCGACCGCGACCTCATGACGCAGTGCGTGGCGCTGCTCGGCAAGTTCATCGCCGTGCGCGAGCCCAACATCCGCTACCTGGGCCTCGAGAACATGGCGCGCCTCGCCGCCGTGGCCGACATGAACGCCGCCATCAAGCGGCACCAGGCGCACATCATCGCGTCGCTCAAGGACCCTGACATCAGCATCCGGCGGCGCGCGCTGGACCTGCTCTACGGCATGTGCGACACCTCCAACGCCAAGGACATCGTGGAGGAGCTGCTCAAGGTGAACCCCCGCGCCACACCCCCCCCCCGCCGCCGGCCCGCCGCTCGCAACTCTCGGCCCTTGTTTCCCTTGGCTCCTGTGGCCAGTGCGGTTGCTGACCTACGTGTGTGTGCGCCCGGTGCAGTTCATGGCGAGCGCCGACTTTGGGCTGCGGGAGGAGCTGGCGCTCAAGGCCGCCATCCTGGCGGAGAAGTACGCACCCGACCTCGGCTGGTGAGGCCCCGCGCGCCCTCACCCCTGCCACCGCACCCAGGCCGGCTCGGCCTGCCTTGTGGCCGCTTTCGCATTCCGCCGTGCTCGCTTCGTGCCGCGTGCTGCGGTTTGACGGGTGTGGGCGGTGCAGGTACGTGGACGTGATCCTGCAGCTGGTGGAGAAGGCGGGCGACTTCGTGAGCGACGACATCTGGTACCGCGTCGTGCAGATCGTGACCAACAACGACGACCTCCAGGCATACGCCGCCTCCAAGGGCCTCGCCTACCTGCGCGCCTCCGCCGTGCACGAAACCATGATCAAGGTCAGCGCCGCCCGCCCCTCTGCCCCGCCCGCTCCGCCATGTGGCCTTCGCCTGCGGCCTCCGCCCGTATGCAGTTGCCTCCTTCTCGTGATGCCCCCTCCTGCGCGTTCGCTGCCCCGCCCTGTCTGCGCCTGACCCGGGTGTGCGTGTGCTGCAGGTGGGCGCGTACCTGCTGGGCGAGTACGGCCACCTGCTAGCGCGCCAGCCGGGCAGCAGCCCCGCCGACATCTTTGCCGCGCTGCACCACCACTTCCACTCCGCCAGGTCAGGCCGCCGCCCACCAGCTCGAGCCATTGCCTATGCTGCCAGGCAGTCGTCGTGCGCTCGTTGGTTGCCTGCATGCCCGTGCCTGCCGCCCCGTGCCGCGCTGCGGCCCTGCGCTTGCGCCTGACGCGCGTGCTCTGCGGTGGCTGTGCTGCAGCGTGCCCACCAAGTCGCTGCTGCTGACGGCGTACATCAAGCTGCTCCTCCACGCGCCGCCTGACCCCGCCCTGCGCGACCAGGTCCTCGCCGTCTTCACCAAGTGAGCCCCCCCCGCGCCGGCGCCCCTCGCTGCGCCACCTCTGTGCCTGCCTGTACCCAGCTGTGCTTGTCCCCAGCTTTGCTTGTCCCCTCCTCCGCTCTCCTCCGGCGGGCGCCCTGGTGTGACGCCGCATTGCTGTGGCGGTGCAGGTACGGAAGTGCGCTCGACGCGGAGGTGCAGCAGCGCGCCGTGGAGTATTTTGCGCTCGCGTCGCGCGGGCCCGGCATGGCCGACATCGTGGCGGAGATGCCCAAGTTCCCGGAGAGAGCGGTGAGCCCCTGAAGGTCCCCCGAAGCATGCCAGGGGGCATGGGATTGAGGCCCACACTAGCGGCACGCCTGGGGCCGGCACCCCGTCTGCACCTGTGCGCCTGTTTCTCCCCCTGCGTCCGTCCTGGCTGGTGGCGCTGACTGGGTGCCCGCCCGCTCGGCTGTCTGTGCAGAGTGCGCTGGAGAAGCGGGTGGTGGACAGCGCGGGCGACACCACGGAGATCAGCGCTGCTGCGCGCCGCGCCGTCGACTCCTCGGCCGTCGTGCTGGCCCCCGGGGCTGTCCCCGCCCAGCCCGGCCAGCCCGCCCCGCTCAGGGGCCCGGGCCCCGGAGCAGCACCCAGCGCAGGCCCCACGGCAGCGCCAGGCAGGCAGGTGAGACGGCAGCGCCGAGGGCTCGCAGATGCACCGGGCTCCGCGCATGGCGCAGCCTCACTGCCACTGGGCTCCGACTGCCCCTTCTGAGAGGGCTCCGCTTGTGGGGCCGCGTGCTGAGCGGCTGCGGGTGGCGGGTGTTGCAGGAGTACGTGGCACCCTGGGCTGCGGGCGGGGCCGCGCCGGTGGCCAATGGGCACGCCCCCAGCGGGGCCGACCTGCTAGGGGACCTGCTCGCGCCTGACGCGCCGCCAGCTGGGGGACCGCCAAGCGACCCGCTCGCCAGCGCTCAGGTGAGGGACGACAGCCACGGCACGGGCCGGCACCAGGAGGCAGTCGCGCAAGAAGCGAGGCCCCTCGTCGCTGTGCTGGTGTTCGGTCTGAGTCATGAAGCAGATGCTGCACCTGCACGAGTTGACCGTCCCGGGGTCCTGCCAGAACATAGCTGGACTTACTAACAGCACCGACACCGAGCGTCGGTGTCTGTGCGAAAGGCGTGCAGACCAGGCACCCGTTCGTCCCCGCACATTGATAGTCTCTGATTCCAGGATCCCCCGGCCCTCTTCCTGCTTGCTCCCGGCCTCTGACCCCGTGTGTGCACGTTCTGGTGCAGGGAGCGGCGGCGGCTGCGGTGGAGCCGGTGGGCAGCGTGGCGGAGTGGTTCAGCAAGCTGTGCGTGGCGGACAGCGGCGTGCTGTACGAGGACCCCTTCCTGCAGATCGGCGTCAAGCAGCAGTACGCGGGGCCGCAGGGCCGCCTGCTGCTCTTCTTCGGCAACAAGCACACCGCGCCCCTCACCGCCCTGCACGCCACCATCAGTGCGCCCCCCGGCTGCGCCTCACCGCCGGCACCCCCCCCCGACACCCTGCCCCCCCGCGCCCAGCTCCAGGTGGGCGCCAGCGTTGCTTCTGCTCCTGGGCGGCTGACGCTCTTCGGGCCACGTGACAGGCGCGCCTGGCCGTGCTGTGGTGCTAACGAGGCACAGCGCGCCGCCTGCTGACGCTGCTACCCCTCGCGTGTCCCCAGATGGCGATCGAGTGCGTGTGTGCGGCCCCCTTCCCCGCGCCCGCGTCCCTGGCGCTGTCGTACTCCGCCGGCGTGCAGCCCGTGGCCGTGCAGCTGCACCTCCCCGCCGTGCTCTCCAAGTTCCTGCAGCCCGTGCCCGTCACGGCGGACTCCTTCTTCGCCAAGTGGAAGCAGTTCCTCAACCCGCCCAACCGCATCCAGGAGATCGTGAGCTCCACCCTGAGCCCGCCCGCTTGCTCGCGCGGTCACCCCGAGTGCAGTCTGGGGGCATGGGATTTCATCTGTTGGAGGTCAAACAGCACCCCGTGCTCGTCGCCAACGTGGGCTTGCCATTTGTGACTTCTGATGGGAGTCGCTGTCATTGTGCTGCACCGGAACAGCGCCCCCTGGTCCCCACTGTGCTCGCAGGCCCCGTCGTGTGACGATGGCCGCTTGGGTGCTGCGTGCAGGTGCGCAACGTGAAGCCCATCGGGCTGCAGGGCATCGCGGCCGCCTTCATCGCGCTCAAGATCGGCCTCGCCCAGGGCCTCGTGAGTGGCCTCGCCGCCTGTGCTGCTGTGCTGCGTGCGCGCTCTGCCACTCTTTATCACCAGTCGTTCATGCCCCAAGCGCGGTCTGCCCGTCCCTCCCCCTGGCTGTGCCCCGCGCTGCTCTGACTGGGGTGCTGTTGCGGGATGGTGTGCAGGACCCGAACCCGAACAACCTGGTGGCGGCCAGCTCGCTCGCTACGGAGAACAACGGCGCAAACGCGGTGTGCATGGTGCGTGTTGAGACGGACCCCGCCGACCGCACCCAGCTGCGCCTCACGGTCGCGTGCTCCAACCCCACCGCCACGCAGGCGCTGCGCCAAATCATTGTGGACGCAGTCACGGAGCCGACCCTGGCACTCCCGGCACCACCACCACCGGCAGGCAACCCTCTGGCCGGACTTTTCTGAGACTGCCGATACACCTGCGGGGAAGGGACGCCAAGCACGAGGTCCTCCACCCAGCTGCGGTGTGTTCCACGGGATGTCATCACCATCACTGTCGTGGATAGTCTGGTCATGTTGCTTTGGGAAAGGGGTTGACTCCAGGACGCTTGGTCCAACAGGCATGTGCTATGGCCTCTAGTAAGTCCAAGTGATCGAACTTAAGGTACGTGCCATCTACTGCTTGCAAAGGATGGTTGGACCTGTCAATGTTGCTAAGTCGATGATGCAACGTTTCAATGCGAGCGTGCTAATGCCAATTCAATCATCTCCTGATGGCAATTAAGATATCGCTTGGCCGGAGGCTAGCCTGAAGCGTGATGACACGGATCAACCGACTTAATAAGAGTTGAGCTTGCACCTACTGGCAAGTATTATAGGTGGTCGTGAAGTCGAGACGAATGGTTGCACAAATGACTGTGACTGTGTGCATGGAGTTAGCCAGAAGGCCCGTGCACTACCGTACACATGATTAATACGTAGCTATTTAGAAATTGTAAGACCTTTTAAGCCTGAGCTCAGCATAAGCTATCATTCATGATACTTCTTATTATACTAGCTAGTTATTATAAGGATGATTGCGTAGACAATGTACTATATAAGCCCAGCCTAGCTGAATATTAATGTTGACCGTAGAGGGCATGAGCCGCCTATGTACATATTAGTTGCCCCCACTGGCTACAGCCCGGTCCAGACGGTCTCATCTCCTTTGGTTAATTATACGATCGACTCGGTGAAGAATTGAGGCCAGTCCTGACCCGTGCGACAAATGCAGTGAGATCCTAAACCGGCGTGTTATAACGCGACGATTAGAGTCGGCCTTCTCGAACTAGAGCTCATGTGCATGGCGTACATCGTATATATATTGCGTGGGCGCCGGGTTAGTACGCTTGAGCTCAATTCAAGTCCGGTCCCAAAATCTGCTAGGCAGTGCTTAATTGTTGGTCAACTGGCCGCGCCGGCAGACTCGCTAGCTTCAGGTTGAGCTAGATATATCATTGCCGTCTTGTATAATACTGCATGCGTGCGCATGTTCAAAAGGCATCTCAAGCCCTCCACTGCTTAACCCCCTTCTCGGCGACCCCCGGCAAAAAGGTTGGGTCTTTGTCGGGAAGTCTTAGTTTAACTCTACTTCAAACCCTAAAAGTTGAAACCCGAGGATGGAATACATAAAATCCTCTAGTATAGCGCACTCTATTGAGCTCGATTTTGTTGAGCTAGTGTCACTGGGGTGAGGAACCTAGCTCAACAACTTTCGAGCGTTCCACCTTCTGGACGTGTGGCTGTCCAAGCATTTTGTCCATTTTCTGAAGTTACTGCGATCAGTAGTACATTGCCTGCAATTTTGCTTCAATTGCAAAACACTGGGCCTCTGGCAGATTATTTGGATCATGCAAAAAGCCAAACGTTTCGTACCGTACTAGCTAGATTTAATTGGCCGACGGTAATTTGGCCAACGCGGTAGCTCGAACCTCATGACGGTATATTTTCGTTCAGAAATTTAATGTGAAGACTCCCACCGTAGCATGCACAAAGCTTGATCGAAAATTTTCCAGACTTGGATCCTTGGACGAGATTTGGTTGCTGTGACGGTTGG